CCCCCCCCCCCCCCCCCCCCCGACCTTCGCACTGTCCAGGCGAGCGCCGAGCAAACACCGCGATGCGACCAGACAATGCCAGACGGCCTGCCGTTACGCACGGGCAAAGCATAGTTCCAATCCCGCTCCACACAACGGGGTAAGTGTCCACGCATTATCACTGTTAATACGCGGGGTACCAGACAAAGTCTGGCAATGGCCAATCCCGCTCCAAACAACACGGCAACACGGAACATGCGTGCATGATATCACTCAGTTCATCAAAATGACCATGAATTCTCGGATCATCCGATTTGAATCCAATGGCTTCGAAGAATTTTAAGATCATGGCAAGAGGTAGGGAGTCCAGAGGTTTTGGCCGTATATCTGTAACCACGCAAAATTAGTCAATTTCAAACCGTGCTTATACATGTAATAAGTATCAACATGGCTCTAAAAATACAAAAAAGTATTCTGGTACCACGAGGAATACTGACTCCTATTATTAAAACATTCATTCAGAACTTTGCATTAATATTCATTTGGATGGAAAAACGAATTCTGAAATCGCGCTTTCCATATGGACCATTTGCGCCAAACATTACCGTGTGAGCCGGAACTTTCATTTAAATCACCGTGTAAAAATAAAATCTACTTGATAAATCGTAATTGTTTTGATCATATCTTTATGAAAAAAAAATGGTACGGACTAGTACACTCATCAGAAATGATTAAGCTTGCCGCACCTTGCCGCAAATCATTTTTAAAGGTCGGGGTACAGAGGCGAAACGAGAAAATTTTTGTACACACTGCAACCAGACTAGTCTACTACCACATGTTATTGTACGCAGATGGGATTGGTGCCAGACTTATGTAGTCTGGCACGCGGTAACTGTTATAATGCTTGCACGCACATGGAAAGCTGAAGCGCAGGCTAGGCGAAGATGCTACGTACGTGAGTACGTTCAATGCAACCATTTCCAGTTCATTCGTGCGTACATTGTATATGCGTTCGTTTCACGGAACCCACTGCGGCAGAATCTCGAGGGTTTGATACGGTAAACAAATAAAATTAATTAGAATAGAAAACACATCAAAATGGGCGGCCTCGAGCCGGCCTCGACCGATTCGCCGAGGCCGGAAGGCTCCGAGGCCGAGGCCAAGGCCGAGGCCTTGCACCTCCGAGGCCAAGGCCGAGGCCGAGGCCATGAAAATCGGCCTCGAGGCCGGCCTCGAGGCCGAGGCCGGCCTCGAGACCTCCAACACTGGTTTTCACTGTGGGGGGGGGGGGGGGGGGGGTGCTTGAGCGCAAGGAGGAGATTCTACCTCTCTTTGGTGGTGACTTCTTCCTTGCTGATCTTCCAAGGAAACTTTTGGTCTCCAGGCTGCTTCCTCATCCAGCATCCAGGCTTTGGAGAGCTCCTTGATGATTGTGTTGGTCTTGATCTTACCCAACCCACCAATCTAGACGGAAACCAATCAGGAAAGAAAGTTTGAATGCATTTGCTCTCAATAACTTGTGTCCAGGTCTTGGAAAAGACTAACGTTAGCACTGCAAAAAACCTGGACAAATCTGGTTTAATGATGTTGTTATACATTTTGCAACTTTGACTTAATTTTTTAAAGACCTGCTTGCATTTTACTCAAACTGTTCATCAAAATTCATTCCGCAAAGTCTTCTTCAAGTACTCAACTGTGAGTACACATATCGGTACTCAGAATACGGTACTCGAACGACGGTGCCTATTGTCCTCCAACGCCGGTTTGTGCACTAAGTAAATGGGAAAGGTTTAGATCAGGGAACAAAGGAAAACACAAAGCCAATTAATCCTCGGAAGCATAGCAGAAAACGACAGTGTGCGCGTTATGGTAAGTGTGTACAGTGTTCGTATATTTTAAATGCAATTTTTGTTTTTCTTTTAATGCAAACAAATATTATATGCATTATACAGTATGTCCAAAAGAAATGTCCGTCTGACTATTTTTGAAAAACTACAAAACCATGAAGTCCAATTTGAAAAAGTTTGATTGTGCAGATACTCCCTATCTTAGCCTCAACCCGATGAGTTTCATTTAATTTCAGTCACGCATCACTGCACACTTGTCAATTGATCGCAACAACATTTTGGGACACTGTGACCAAGTTCCTTGCCTTAATCAATTTCAGTGCTGTGTTAAGTAAGCTGTGTAAAATCCTGCATGTTGTGAAAAGGGCTGCAATTGGGATTGGAATCATTTGCCTGGCTATCAGTCATCACGGCAAGACCTCGGTTTAATGCTCAAGGGCAAATGATTCCAATCCCAAACCTCATCCGCCTTTTTTTCACAGACACTTTTTTGGGACATACTCTATGACAATTAATAATCATAAATTTAGTGTCAGGTTAACAATAACACTTTGGAAGTCTAATGGTTTATTTTTGTTTTAGTTATGATTTTAGTAATGTAAGATGATTTGATATGATGGAGTTGAGATAATCTGTCGCCTACCTTTTGCTTGCTTCTTCTTTTTGTAGTCAAAGTCAAGACGTCGCCCCTGTAACTTCTTCCGATGGTGCTGTAGAAATGAAACATTGGGGAGAAAGTTAATGTACTGTTTGACAAGAGACATTTGCACATTGCTGTAAGGCTCCTCATATAAATTATGGGTCAAAGCGTGACAAATTTTCGAGTTCCTGTTATCTCTGAACGTTGTCATTTGCCGTTCAAGTGTCATTAAGAATGACTTCAACAATTTGTTGGGTAGGTTGTCTGCTTCACATAATCACTCTTGGCGGATGACTGCATTAACCCTAACCTTCCCAAATCCTCCCAAATCCTCTTTGCAAAATGGAGGATTTTGCAGGATTGAGGCTGTTTGGCAAAAATGTGTGGCTGAGTTTGGAGGATGCACTGTGTCAAGGTCTTGGGCCGGGCCTTGTGTTTATTGATGCTCAGCTGTGCATAAATTATACTTGAAGTCCTCCGCACTGCTCCAGGATGTCACTGGCTCTGCCTCAACATATTGACAGTGATTACTGGAGGATTTTGTAGGATTGAGGCAGTGATCATTCTTCCACGGATCACATTCAAGAAATAATGGAGGATTTTGCAGGATTGAGGCTGCA